CAGCTTTGCAACTGTTGTAAAATTCTTCAATATGATTGGTTTATACATTTAGATCTGTCAGGAACCAAAAGCAAGAACCAATCGTATTGAAGAATTTTACAACAGTTGCAAAGCTGCTTTCTCTGCTGAACGCAGCCAATTTCCTCTACGAAACAAACTATGAGAATACAGATATGTCTGCACAACGAATAAGGTAGATAAGTTTTAGCCATTATTTCTACTGACTCTTAAAATTTAAAATATTTCAAATATATCATTATATGCTCGTCTTGAAATTGATTGACAATCAATATCGCAATCTTCATACATAACTTTTTCTTAATCCATTTCTAATTAATGCTTCTTCATTTCTCCATATAATCTAATAATTACAGGGCAGAATTTTTAAAACTCGTATGATCAAATAGGATGTAACATATATTTTGATACAAAAGCGCAGACCTCTCATACAATCGCTCCTCTTTAATAGTTTCACATAAAACCCCCATAGCAAAAAACATCACATTCATATCATAATAAATTTAACAGTCACAGATAAATTGTGATGTCGCTGTTACAGTGACATCATAACTTATTTGTGACATTATCTTGATCTATATGTCATAGTGTCACAGCGATGTGCAATTTTTATCACAATTGTATATCATAACAATATCGTATCTATAACAAAACGAACATTCTCACGACATTCTCACGTCATCGTAACTTTGTTATGAATATTACATATGTAATAAAGTGGATTCGCGCGCAACCATGATTTTGTTGTTATATTGTTGTGAGTTTTTTTGCTATGGAAGAAATTACATGTGTAATATAAATTTGTTTTTACCAATAATACGAAGCGAATACAATGTATATAATTTTCACGTTTAAATACTATGATACAAGTATAAAATAATGTAATTTTTATAATTTTCACAAAATTATTATGAGAATAGAATATTATTATATAGTAAGAGAAGAAAAACAAATTATTAGATTTTTGTTGTAGATTCTACATTAAGCAAATCTGTACTATGACAAACTTTTTTTTCTATTTTATTCGTTTTAATCTTTTGTATCTTAAAAAGTAAAAATTGCACTTGTAATAAATAGTTAACTGTCTCGGGACAAAATAATTTCGACTATTTATATAATATATTACATTCCTTATATATACTATAAATCATTCATGTTTAATGAAAATATTCCTATACATATAATATAAATAACAGAAAAAAGTAAAATATATAAGTTTGACATTTTTTCTGCTCTCAACTTATAAATATAAAATTCTATGACTATTTTCATTTAAAATTACAAGAGATTGAAAAATATATCAATCAATAATTCAATCTTTCCTGTTATAAAAATACAACTTGTGTATGCGCACTTGAATCTGTTCAATAGATTACTAGAATCTATACAATCAAACTTTCCTGTTTTTAATACGTCGGGACCAAATATCCTATTTTTAATTTTTTTTGCCAATCTCTATTTTTATTGTAATAGCATATGCAAAATAAAAATATATCATTGCATCGATTATATTAACAAGATAAAAATATTCATAGTATTCTTTATTATTTACTTTTTCATTTTACGAAAGGTCGCATAAAGCACTTTAGATCACAAATGATAAAGATAAAATTTTAAAGAGTGATTTAAAATGTTAAGTGTAGAAGAAGTATTAAAAATAGGAAAATTTACTTATATCAATATTGTGACTTTCAATTTAAAAAAATTATATGCATGGTACATTTTATTATATACACGCTTGTATATAAGAAATGACATTCTACAAGTTCCATGTAAAGAACATATAAAATAGTGAATAGTAATATGTACGCGCGCATGCATATATATCTATTCTTATCATATGCTTTTCTATATACACACGTAACACTCACTCTTTCTCAAACTCCTCTATACTCACAAGCATGCGCGCACACACCAGAGGTAGAAAATGAAAAAAGTATATCTAGTTAAGTAACCTTGAAATTAATTGTGTCTAAGTAAAGTCGCGCAAATCAATTTGAGCAAAACAAATGCGGATATTGCTGCAATTCTGGTAGCAATACAGACACATTGCTATTTGAAAGATATCCCAAACCTACTGCATCATCTGTTAGATAGATTACAGAGGTCATTTGGCCTAACATCACAATGTAGAGACTCTCTCTATACTAATTTTTAAATTAAAATTGTTTAAAGTTGACCAATTACATTCTCAAAAATTTAAATATTCAAATAAAGCAACAATAGTAAACATAACACGATAGTGAAAGTGAATAAATATTGGTATATGACATTAATTAGAATCATATGAAAAAAACTTTAGCGTACATGATATCCTAATGTCAATATTTCATAATATTTAGACTATTATTAAAAATGAGAATGCAATTACAAAACAAAATTATCATTTTACGATATTATTTTTTTTCAAATATAAAATGCCTATGTAAGCCTCCGCAGATCAGTATCTTCTTTCAATGTCAAAGAAAATGTCAAGGATCGAAACGTTAGTACATTTTTTATTTAATGTATTGGATATTTCAAGAAGTTCAATTATCGTTTGACTTCTTTTCACGCGGCTTGCATAAGGCATTTTACATTTTATTGATACTTTTTTTAATTGAGTTAATATTAGGGCTCGCTATTATACGTTTAAACGAAAATACGTTTATACGTTATAATTAGTATATCCGTTTATTAGAAATGTTTTTCCGAATATACGTGTAATTAATTATTATACGTTTAAACGAAAATACGTTTAATTAGCTAATTAAATGTGCTAATTAAACGTGTAAACGTTTTTTGAAAGCGAATATAAACGGATAAATGTTTTACGTTTACACGTATCTTCGAAAAACGGAATAAAATTAGAGCCCTAGAGTTAATATATACTTCAAATCATCTTTTTTTTATTCCTTTTAACTGGCAACATTTTTATGAATTTTTAGAAATAAATTTTTTGAATTTTAATCATGATTTGAAAAAAAAAATCAATTTTTTTAACTTTAATAAAATTAAATATAATAAATAAATAACGTCTCTCGAAATAAATAAATAAAATATTAAGATAAAGTATTTCTCTAATATATTATTCATTACGTATGTAAAACTACGTTAATATTTAAAAATAAATTAAGCAATCTTAGAGCAACTATTGTGTGATGTTTGAACGTGTAAGGTGTTGTCATCTTAATTGACTAAATTCAAACGCTTTTTATTTAAAATAATTACAGCCTCGATTTTAATATTATAATTTTCAAATAATCATTGGAATTTTTTAATAACAGAACTAATAGATCTAGAATACGTTTACATATAAATTCACAAAGCAAACGTTTAAATTGCTATCACTCGTAACAATATTTTTCATATATAATTACTTCTTGGGCATCTTTTTTATTGTAGTCTACTTTAGTTCCTTTCTTCTCTAAATAAAAAAGTCATTATTTATATCATTAAGATTCCAAGAGATTTTTTTATATTTGACGTTTCCGGTAATGAGAGAGCCCATTTTCTTAAGCCTGTTAACAAAACTGAGCTAGTGACTAGTACAGCCCCGCCTACAGAATATCTATTTGGTATTTCATTAAAAAATAATACTTGCCAAAAAAACGCAAAAACAATATCTGTAGATCTTGCAATGGCCACTGGACCAGCTTGTTCGATCTGAAGAGCTAAAGTTAATAAGATTTGACCTGCAAAACTAAACAGTGCGAGTGCAACAACTAAAACTCTATCTGACCCACAATGTGGCATACATAATGCACCAATTGCCCATGATATAAGCGTAGTTTGAATTAAAGCAAATGAACCAAAATTTGTCATTATAACAGAGAAATGAAGACCTTTTAACGCACGTAGTAAAACATATGCATTTGCACCAAATAAAGTAGCTGAGAAAGCAGCCATAGCGCCCCATAAATCTGCATGTTCCGACTTAACTTGACCATCTGAGAGAGATTCTATGGTATGACCAAAAATTAATGACGGTCGTGTTATCAATATCACACCAATCAATGTTAAACATACAGTAACAACGTTAAATAATCCACAAGGTTCTTTCAAAAATACCCGTGCAAATATTGCTACAAATACAGGAACAGAAAATACAATAACCGAAGCATCGGCCAACGGCATATGTCTAAATGCGTAGAAACTTAACATAAGTCCTGTTGTACCAATAAAACTCCTCAGAATAAGTATTAGTCTATGTCCTTTTGGAAAAGGATGTTCACCTTTATAAATAACAATTGGTATAGCTGGTAATAATACCCCAAAGAATCTGAAGATTGCCATTTCTGTTGGATTTATCTCCACTAAGCTCTTAACGATTACACTACATAGTGAGAAGAACAGAGACGACAGCGTCGCTAATACTAGACCCATATAGGGACATGATTTACACAGTAGAGTAAAAAATTTTCTTTTATGATTTGTTGTGTTATTTTCCACATCAGCATCCACTAGATGCTGCAGTTCCACATGTTCTGACATATCTATAAGAAATATAATGTATGAAGATAAGTATATTTAGATATACAATATACAACAATATAAAATGAATAATATACAACAATATAAAATGAAAAAAATTTTAGATCACAGGATACAATTTTGAGATTCTAAAATGTTCGTGTACAAATCTTATTCTTATTAATGCTAAGTAAGTGTCATTACAACAATAACTAAAGCCATAAAATAGAAGATAAAATTAAAATTTAAAGACAATAAGATATAAAAATTTGTCTGTCATTTTGATTCTGCCATTTATAGACTTCTATGACTACACTAATTCAATATGATAGAAAGAGATGAAACCTGTTCCGAGTTGTTTTTGTTTCGGTTCACATATGCGTATTTATGCATCCTGTCTGTCTGAGTATCGCGTGAATTTATGTGAAAACAGAAACACTAACGTGTATTCGTGTGATTTATACATGCGAAAGTAAATGGACACAAATATAGAGCTGCCCAAGGCTATCTTCAAACATGGAGACGAAGTCGGCAGTCTATTTATAAAAGTCTGTAGGTATTCGAAAATCTTGACCTCAGATTCAGATGTAGCGACCAACATATACTCAGAAACTAAATTTTAAAATAATAAGATTATTTTTTCGTTTTTGGTCCATCAACCCACCAAATTTTGGATTTTAAAATTTTCAAATTTTAACTTTAGATTAGAATTCGGTGATCTAAAAGAACTCTTAGAACATCGTTATAAGAGATATTTAAACTATTTATTTGGATTAACAGTAGAAAATATCGATTTTTCCATATTTTTCAAAGATTATCAATTTATAACAAACAACAATGTAGCGAAAAAAATCTGAAAAAATTTTGAAAAATATTTTAAAACGTCTTAAATTAGTGCTTGAATTGTCGTTTTGATATTGATAATAATTTGATGGAAAATGCATGTTTTTTTTTACAAAACACAAATTTTGATTACTTGTTTAATTAAGAGCAATTATGCAAATAAAAATTTATGGTTGCCTATTTCTTTTTAACACTTATTCATGTTCTACGGTCACTACGAAAATAAAAAACTGTCAATTATTAATTACTTAACATCAATAAATTCATCAAAATAATTAAAAACTGAGCGGAAAAAGGTGAGACTCTTAGAGTCCCGTCATGACGCAAAGGGTTAAAGATATCTTCTCAAGATCAACTAAGGTCACCATCTTCTTTCCCTCTTATCACTGAGTAACTTTTGTCACAACCGTTTTTGTCTTTAATTTAAGTATATTGAGATATTCTATTGGATGAATTAAAATAGATTGTATATGAGATTATATACATATTTTTACATAGAATATTGTATGTTTCATACTTTACAATGAAAAAGAAAATAATAGTAAAGAGTCATGTACAGTATACTTATAGTATTAATTGAACGATATAGTATGAAACATAGTTTAAAAAATTTAAAGAAAAGGGATAAGTGAGTCCTCAATCTAATCTGTTTCAAGATAACATTTTATATTAGGAATTTTAATCAATATTTTATTTGATTTTTTATTTTACTTATAATAGCTTAACTTATAAAGATAACACAAATAATTGGTATCTTGTTATTCTGTTTAATCAAAATAATAGCGAAAAGCATACATATGATATTAAACGACATCAAATAACATAGAATTCTAATATTTTGTAGAGAAAATTATATAACGTCTAAGAGACACTAGAAGATTTTACAATTATCAAGTATTTTTCTACAAATTTAATCTTATTATATATAAAGAAAGAAATTTATTGGACCGTGCATGTGATATACAACCAATATATAGGAAACAAAAATCTTTAACGTTCAAAACTGAATCTTAAGTGCTCAAATAATTCGATATTACATATGTCATCATTAATCTTAATGTTAAAGAAATAATGCAAATTGTAATTTTTATATAAATACTTTGAATGAGTATATTTAGGGTGCTTTCCAGCAAGAAACACAAATGACACAGTGTAGTAGCATAGTGAATCATTATATTTTTGTTTGCCAATGTTAAACAAAGATGAAACGGTCACTGTGTTATACTGTCTCTGGAAAGCACCATTAATTACATATTTAAAAGTAAAAAGTAATCAATTTAAATTCTATATTACTTAATCGCATGTAGAAAATTTTGTCGATACTTACTTATTAATTTATTTGGATTTCATCAAACACGTTGTATGTAAACAACCATAAGATTATGTGTCAAATAATATAGTCACAAAATGCAGCCTAGATGGAGAACAAAAAACAATCAAGATTTGCTTTGTAATCTTATGTAATTAAATGCTTATGTAATTAAATATTTGTTTTATATTTAATCGTTAGTAGCTATATTTTAACGATCACGCTGTCATCTTTATATTAATAATAACAAAACTCTGTATTATAAAAGTTACTTCACATTCATAACTCATGAATGATAACTTTACTTATAATAGACGTTTTCTCTTTGTTTGATTTATTTCTATACTTATTCTCTAATTACTGTCTCATTTGCTAATATGGAACAGTAATAATTCTCTTATAGTAAAATATTTTACCGTTTGATAGTAGATGTATTCATACTTATACTTTCTTGCATTTTCTATCTTTAAATAAAATAAATTTGTATCTTTGAATGAGGAAAGAGAGAAGAAACAAATATAAAATATGCAACTAAAACGAGTAGATCTAATTTTCACTAATGTTCGTATCGGGCCACAGACAGCAAGAAGCCTGAGATGGCCTTAGAAAACTGCCACGATCACACTCAGGGTAACCAGGTTGTCCAACACCAGTGTCATCAATCTAAGGCGCTGAAATCGCCCAATGCTTTCTAATATCAGGGTAGCGATCATGTAACTTTTTCGCTAGAGCGGAAAAACGTGAAAAGTGAAAATTTTTTGTATGATGTGTGTATATATACGAACATACATACATAAAAATTTTCACTTTCACGTTTCCGAGCTAGGGAAAAAGTTACATGATCGCTACCCAGAGAGGAACCTGAGAACGGATATTCCGGTCTTTTTTGTATACCAAACCTTGTAGGATATTATCCACGTTTTCGTGATTTCCTTCCATGCTATTACATAGATTAGACAAGGATGAATAATTAATTTTAATTGTTTATCCTTGTCTAATCCACGCAATAGCATGGAAGAGAACCACAAAAACGTGGACATTACCCTATGAGATTTGGTACACGAAAAAGGACACGGAATATCCTCTCAGGTTTCTCTCTGCCAATATCTAGCTTAGCAAAAGGGACTAAAACCCGTTTCTACCAAAACAGTTAAAAAAAAGTTAATCCCTAGTGACATTTGGTTAATCAAAGTTTAGCATAAAATATTGGTTTCTATCAACTTTTTGCGGAAGTTTAAATGTACATAAATTGAGTTTAAATTGAACGGTCAATTTTGACGAAACCAATATTTTATGCTAAACTTTGATTAACCAAATGTCACTAGGGATTAACTTTTTTTTAACTGCTTTGGTAGAAACGGGTTTTAGCCCCTTTTGCTAAAATCGTTCAACCATTTAGAGAGTTAAACTGTAGTTAAAAAATATTACTAACAACAAACATGGCATTTCGGTAAAAAATTTTTCATGCATAAATATATATATAAATATGTATAAACTCACATAAACATGTATATTCATAAACATATATAATTATATATAAGCAATTATTTTACATTTCGCCAAATTAGATATTTTCTAAAACAAACAATGCGAAAATTATCCTTTTAATTATTTTAAATTGTTTAAATGAATTGATATGAGAATTAATTGTAAGTGCTGAATTATGTGTGCAACGTAAAGCGAACGATCTTGTATTATATCACATTGTTGATGTAAAACAATTTATTATCTTTTGATATGACGTAATTCCCATCTTTTAATATTTACAGAAACTTGACAGCAGCAGTAAAGAAGGAAAAGTAGAATAAACAGACTTTTCCAGGACCCTACAGACAAAAATTTGCATCTTAATCTTGATTTATTTATAATACAAGAATTCTATTTTAGATTTGTGAAAATATTAAAATTTTTAATAGTAAAAAATAATATGTATATATTTTAATAATAACTATTAGTTTGCAATATTTATAGAAAATAAGATAACAGATATATAATCTCTCTATACATAGTAAACAAAATACGGTATATAGAACATAAGAAACTAAAATAAATATAATGAACTTGCCATGTATTATTTTCTGTGTAAAGATATTTCCAACTTCTTGTCCACCCAAAAAGTAAAAATTAGATATCGCTGACATTGCTAAAAGAGGACTTGCCAGTATGCAATGAAATCTTTGAATACTTCTTGAAGATAAATATGTGTTCTGCATTTTATAATATTGTTTACTTTTGCCAATTGATGTTCCTATATTTTCAATTAGTATTCCTATAAAATTGAGCAATGCCCAAATAAAGATATTAATTTGTATCCCATGCCATATAAAGACAAACGTGAAACATAAAAATGATGCAAATAGTTTTCCAAAACATCTATCTGATTTTCGTATAGGAACATAGATATATCTGCAAAAACAATATTAAAATATTAAAAGAAATATATAAGTCTATATTATAATAAAATATATATAATCTTTTTGATTATTGTAACAGAATAAAATAAATGTATAGTAGAAAAATTTAATCAAATTTACCTTATTAGAAATTTGTATAACCCTCTATCAAAATGTTTCCACATATCGGAATATAAATGTATTCTAGCTATGCATTTAGGTTGTGATGGCGCTTTTATATCATCCAAATAACATAAATTACTGCATGTTCCATAAATTACAACATACTTAATGAAAAAAAATTGTCCCATGCAATATCCTAAACCAAATAGTCCCCAAGAATTCAAATTTTGTAAAACCTATACAGAACAAAATATATTCTTATGTATACTTATAACAGGTACCTTATGTACAAAAAGAATTATTACCTGCAAATGATATTGTATAGCATTTATATAAATAAAATGTAACAACAATTCAGTAAAAATACACCAGAACATGTATCTAATTAAATTTAACATAAATGTTAAAAACTTTTGACAACTCCAATACTGATGTGATTGATTAATCTGAAAAAATAAAATATTCATACATAAATGAACTTTATGACTCTTTAACATGTAATATAAATATTTATACATACAGATTCCACAAATTCATGATACAAAATAAGTGGTCCTAAAAATAATGTAGGCAGATATAAGCAATATGCCAATTTTTGAATGAAGTTATTTGAGCTGGAAAATTGATCATCAATACTATCCATATTGTGACTGATACTTCTTAAATGTATCCAACACATTACAAGTGTTAAAATATAATGCTTCTCATCAGTAATTTCTAACCAACTTTGAAAAGGACCATTCGGAATTTTTAAAATGTGTATTACAAACATATACAAAATATGTATAGTCCATGCTGCATTCTTACTGCATATACACGTCATTATATGTAAAAAAGTAGGTTGGAGTATTGTACATAACATACCCAACATACCCAAATAATAATAAAGAAAAACTATAGATGATAAAATATACCAATAGCATAATGTCTGAAAAATTTCTGTGTTATTTTCTTCTGTATATTATCCATAATTTTTTCTGCATCATACTTTGCATATAATTATCATACCATACTGTTTTTACTATTGACTTTAATAATCTGACTGACAAAATGATGTATAAAAACACATGGTATCAGTCTATTTACTAATGTAAGCCATACAAGCCACTCTTGATCAGAAGTGTCTCGTTTCTTTCCAATCCAAGACCATCCTGAATCAAAATCACCATATATATCATAATAATCATTAAAATCTGAAAACAAATCATATTCGATTAAAATCATTAACAATTATGACAGTTTAATTGTTCTCTCTTTCGCTATATTCTTACAATTGTTTGCTAAATAAAATTGATATACAGAATAAATGATGGCACACGACCATACAAGGAAATAAAAAAAACTTTCATAATAGCTTATAGTTAAACTATTGCTTTTCATTATTAAGTTAAATTTGCCGCCTTAACAATTTTGTTACAATCACAAAAAATAATTTCAAGAAGTATCATGCAGATATAATAACAAACAGATCGAGTATGAACTGTATGAACATGAAAGTGCAAGCAGAAAGAAAATTAAGGTCTATTCTTCACTCCTGTACTGTACAGAAATAAAGAACAGACCTTAAGTACAATTTCAAGCAGAGAAGCTTCGCCGTTCGCTGGAGAAATCTCCTCACTCCACCGAAAATGAGTATTCATTATAGTTTTAAAGGATCGGAAAAAAACCCAATTATTCCAATTTTTCCGCAGATTTTTTCGGTTTTTTCCCCAAAGCTAGAAAAATTCATTTTGGAAAAATTCACACGTGCTTGTAAAACCTACCACATTTGCTTTTCGGTTCTTTCTGTAAAGAAAATAATTGCGTGTAGGGTACACAGCGGGATAAATTAACAGAAATTTTGAAATTGTATAAAAAATTGAGATCGCATAATGTATTCAATAAAACATACAAAACATAAACTATTGCACCATTAATGCAAGAATTAAAAATATAGAGTCCAAACATCATGTTTATATGATAATAGTAGGTCTAGAAAATAATTTGGATACTGAATTCGTAACAAAATATTTGAAAAAAAAAAAAAAAAAAAAAA